TCAGTACATCAATGGCTATGCATACTTGATCAATGTGATCAGAATTGTTGATCATATTTTGATCATACTCTTTTTATTTTTAGCATATCTCCTTGTAATGATATTAGCATATTCAGAGCCAAGTGCTGGGATCTCACATGCAGTCTAATCCCTCTTATATTAGTCTATCACTAGGCTATGCACTCTTCTCATTGTTACTTCAGTCTAGCATCATAATGGCTGTTTCTTTGCACTCTAGCCCTATTTTCAGTTACATGCTTAGTGGACTGGAATATAGTCTATATATTCTCAAATTTTGCAAATTTACATGCCTGAATATAGAGAGAGTGTGTCATTATATATAGATCAATACCCTTTGACTGAGAGCACTATAGCATCTCAACAACCTTACACTCTATCTGGAGGCTTGCATAAAACACTAGCAAACTTATTAATTTGTGAAATATTGACTTGTCTTGCTTTATTCTCAAAAACATGAATGGGATTTGCTGATTTTGCATGTCATTCTCACACTCACCAGACCTAAAAAAGACCTTTAAGGGTAACTAGATGACACTAACAATTTCTCTAGATATCACTAGGACCACATATAGGATTCTGACATTAAAAGTTCATGCTGCATATAGGTTGCACCATTCAGTATCCAGATCCTTATATGATATTCCTGTTATAGAAAAATTCACATATATATACTGTGAGTCATTGTAAACAATTCAGAACCTCACACCTTTGTAGCCACCTCTTGCTGCATCTCTTTGGAGATTAGTCACTATATGAAGATACACAACTAGACTTGCTTAGACCAGCCTTCAGATTCTGTGTCTTGGTTTCACTTTCCAATATAGGTTTTGTGTTTTCTGCCTGCAGAGAAAGTTAACAAACAACTTCTAGTTCATTATTGTGTTAGAGATTATTTTGATGGCATAGTCTCAGAGTTTTAGTTCAGAGAGCTTATTAAAGTTCTCCTTACTGAATAGATCTCTGAAGTCTTAGGCCCACTTGGATACCAACTTCTCAAAGGTCTTCTTCACCTTCACAGGATTGGCTCAGGCTACCAAGTCATTCACATAGTGCACTGCTCTGATGGTGATGATCTCAGTAGCATCTACAGTGAGGATCATTTCTCCTTCCTCCATTTCTTTATCCTAGGCATTCTCAGAATCAGCATCTGACAGGACAAACAGAGTTTTCTGGCACTGACACCAGGTGAATGTGAGCTTCTCAGTTTTCCAGTTGATTAGTGGGTTATAGTGGATCATCCAGTCATGTCTCAGAAAGATCTCCTTAGCACACAGATCTGTTATGGCCAGGTTGATTCATTTTGTATGGTCTCTTATAACTAGTCAGAGCTTGATGAACTCAATGATGGTCCCTGCTTGATTTCAGATCCTATTAGCATTATAGACTGAGATAGAGGTGGCACTGGCTTTGGTTGAAAGATAGTTTTTTATGATACAGTTCTGGTTGATGAAGCTTCCTATACAGCTACTGTTGATTAAGGCTGTGATAGTGTGTGTGATATGTCCTTTAGAGTTTCAATCTGTGTCTTGATTAATACATGATATCTCTTGATGTCTTGCTGCTGGATGTACCCTCAAGGTTTTTGCAGCTCATCAAGCCACTCCAGCACTTGGCTTCTTTCTACATTCCTCATCTCTTTGATCATTTCATCAATCTCCTCTGTCTTAGCTTTATGTATCCAGTTCCTGAGGGCTGCCCTTCCTTCTTCCTCCATTCTAGTGTCTCTAATAGTATACCATGTTCACTCAGTTTCATATAGTTTTAACCATTGAGAGGGCTTCTGGTTTGGAGGCTCTTTGCCCCTGGTTTGGCCTGTAGATATGTGAGCTTGGTGTTTTTTCTGCAATTCTTTGAGTGCAGTTGATGAAGTGGAATCAGATATATTCAAATGTATAAATATGTTATAGGTACCCAAATCCATGGCATGAGTCTATCCTGCAGCTATTGATAGCACACCATTTAGTCCTTTGGCTGAGCAAGTGGAATTGCTCACTTGTCAGCCTTCTCTTTTACCTCCTCAACTTTCATGTTCTTGCTATTTGGTTCTTCTATGGCATCTGCTTTCTTCTGCAACTCCTTGATTGGTACTTATATCTCTTTATGAGTCTATTTCTTCTCCAGGCTGTTCTTTGTAAGATGTTCTTTTTCCTCACAATTGAAATACTTTCTCTCCTTCTTTATTTAGTCAATATCCATTGGTTTCTTCTGTCTGCCATACATAGTTCTGATACTTATCTTTTTGTCACTGGAGGTGGATGTGGCACTAGAGATTGGTGCCTTTCTCTGATTGGGTTGGGAGTGATGAGATAGTATCTTTTTATCATGCTGTTGGTTCATGGTGTTGGCTACCTTCTGGCACTGTTGTTTGCAGTTCATAATGGTGATGCAATCCTTCCAAGCATCATAGCCCTTTGGAATGTTGATGCCAATATCTGTAATGATTTTTATGTAGTACTGAGAGACTCTGACTTTGAATGCAGTGACTATGTGTCTGGTTTTGCCAATGTCATGTCAGAGGTTGGCAAGTCAGACAAGCTTTTCAAGTTCACTGAAATATTCACTGGCAGTCTTATCACCTACCTATATGCAGTTTATACATCTTGGCCTTGTGAACATCCTAGACTGCTGGATCAGTAAACTTGTCATAGACTGATTGTTTGAAGTGTTTCTAGGATGGCAGTTGATGGTGCTCTCAGATGGTCAAGTATAGTTCTATGAGGTTCATCACTCATCACTCTTTTGCTTTGTCTTTGAAATAAAAGATAGCAAACATGATATGGTAGGCATCAGCTGTTAGATAGGTGGCATGTACTTTGAAGTACATTTCACAGTCCACAAGAAAATGATCAATTTCATCAGATACCACTTTGAAGGGATGGAGTTTCCTTATCAGTTCAGGTTTGCACTGGATAAGAGGTGCTTCAGGGCTTAGAGCAGTCATTGGATTCAGATAGTCCTCAAATAGTGGGAGTCATCAGGCAAAAGACAGAGGCAGAAGCAAATGAAGGGAGTGATCATTGGTGATAGGACTTCTCCCAAGTCCTCCTTTCTCTTTCTTCTTTTAGATAAAGTTGTTTCTGATCTCAAAGTCATCAGCCTCAGAATCATTGCCCTCCTCTTTAGCAGGTTCAGAGTTGCTGGAATTAGCCTCATTGAGAAGGGGTTGGGCAGCCAACAATTGGCTTTCTCAGCCATTTGGCAAAGAGTATTATTGGGAAATAGCTGAGAATAGCTGAAGAAAAAGTGAGTGTGCCACTGAGTGGACTGAGAAGGCCATGTAAATGGCTCTCTTGGATGGTCAGAGTGGTATATTCAGCATAGATCTGACTTTGAAGTGAGACTGATAGAGAGATAGCTCAGCTCTTGTATTATAGGGGTATTCATTGTTGAACAGATAAATAGCCCATTCAGTTGTGCAGTACTGTAAAATGTCAATTTTTTCTTCATCTTGTGATACTATATATTTCTTTCCTAGAGAGATAATCCTTCAAACTATGTCTACTGTGCTGCACTATGATATCATGGGCACCAAATTTTGGTTTTCCTGGCTCTAGATCCACTACAGCATCAAGGAAGCTGAGCAGTAATTATCCTACTTTCAAAACAAGAAACTATTCTCCACTATGGCTCAAGCAACAGAACACTGACACAACCTGCCTGGGGATCCACTGTGCAATCAATAACCTGCAAAGCAATGACAGATGGCTGTCCACTGGCTGTCTCTTTGTGTCTAGCATGCAAATTTTAATCCTGCATCTGTGTTTAGACACAGATGCTTATCAGCCAGAGCCTGTGCATGGATGGAAGCTTCATCCAATCACAGACAGATCAGACATGGATAGCCTTATAAAGCTATTCAAGAAGGCATCATATACAGAAAGTGTAGCTGATTTGAGCATAGATGGCAGACCCATAGAGCAGATTAGTGGTGTCATGCTGATATAGGTCAGATAAGGCCAAAAAGAAATAGCCTAGATACTTATAGGAGCTACAGCTGATAAGGAAACATATCTTCAGACTCTTGGTATTTAAAGGGATAATCTTGTAGGTAGAAAGAGACCAACTTTTATGGTACAAAGCTAAGGAATAAAAATTCTGCTAGTCTTCTACAAGCTGAAGCCATAAGCATACCTAAAAGCCTTTGAGCCTGGTATTCTTGTATCTCTCCCTTTTCTCTTTCACATTTCACTCTTACCCTGCCTATCCACCCTCAAAAGTGGACACCAGAGCTTGATCTACCAATGAGCCATCTGCTCTAGGCAGATTCTGTCAGATCCATTCTGAACTGCTGGATTTCCTCCTTGCAATTATAAAAGAACTTGCAAGAGCAGATGCATCTTTCTTGTACCAGGGAGTTTCTTGCACACACAACCTGGAAAGTAATTTGGCTATAAGCACTCTTAACCAAATTAAGATTGCCACCTTACAAAGCAATGACTATTTTTGTCAATAATCAATCAGCAATCAAATTCACTGAGAATCCTATATTCCATGCATGATTGAAGCATATAAATATATGGCACCACTTTATTTGTGAGCACATGGCTTCAAACAAAGTCAAAGTTCAGCACTGTGCATCAGAGGAGAACTTAGCAGATATATTCACTAAAGGCCTACCAAGACCATTACATGAGTATCTATCTGCAGGTATTCTAGGAACTCAGAATTGAGAGGGAGTGTCGGGATAGCAATCCCAAGCAAGTATGAGAATGTACTCGAAGATACGATGCTAGTCAGCAGCAGCTGACTTGGATCGTGATCCAGACTTATTTAGTATTTCATAGAAAGATCTTGAAGTAGTAAAGAATGTATTTAAGTAGAATGTCTCTCTCTCGAGAGGCCAATTCTAATTCTCTGTACATTACTCTGCTCTCTACTTACAACACACTTCACCACAGATGTCCACCTCACCATAATCTGTAAAATGTATGTATAACACTGATGAGACAGAGCCTGAGGAAACTTATATGGAGTTTTAATTAGCTGAACCATCGCTTCGTGACTCTGAAGGATCGAAGAAGGAAACCGTGTGGTTCCTGACGAGTGCATAATAAACGCTGTCGACTTCCAGTCAGGCCGCTTGAACGGCAGAAGTGGCTCGTAGGACCCGATGAAGATTTCGCTGAACGTGGGCATTGGGATGGTGGTGGTGATTTTCTTGTCATCGTTTTGGTGGCAAACAATGTCAACAATCTTCTGCACTGGACCATCCGGGGTGACGACGAAATACTTAGAATTGGTGGCTTTCATGAGGTGTGTGACTGCAGGGACCGAGTTCCGGATGGAGATGGTGAATGGCATGTGGCCCAGGCACATGATACTGAGAATTGTCGCAAAGAACGTAAGGGTATCTAGGCTTCTTTGAGCATTTCTGTGGCACCTGTTGGCCAGATAGCTTACCTGCATTTGCCAAAATGCTGATCATGATAGGACTCTCATTGTCATGGAGGTATTTCTTGATGTATTGGCCAGCAGTGTGAAAGGCTGCGATGCCTTCGCTCCAGAGAATCATGCAAACGTCCTCGGTATCGGGATCCTTGTATCAAAATAGCGGATGGTTTGGACTATGCTCAGCATTGTAGTCAGCTATCTCTGAGAACATCAACAAGCCGTCTAGAGGGGGATGATTGAACATGGGGGATGAGCGGCCTTGGGGAGTTGGGAACGTCATACTGAGCTTACATGGAAAGCAGTCTTGAAGAGCCGTGCTTATAGATGAACCTGCATGAAATGCTTACGTGTGAACCATACGTCCCCATCGCATGAACAACATGAAATAGGATGCCAAACGGCGATTTAGTCGATGCTGTTTACTTGAAAAAGGTCATCTGTGAGAAGAAGGACTTATATTGGGTATGTAAAGGATGTCACCAGTCATGGGACTGCATGTTTTGAGTACTGAAGAAGACGATCAGGTTGTCGCCTGGTCCCTTTATTCTGATGGCGGAATAATGAATGACAAAAATGGAATGGTTATATTTATCGACTGACCGGTATTATGCGAGTCCTTCTGGTGCACTAGTTGATTATATTCGTATGGCTGAAACGCCTTTCAGCTAGTTCGGTGTTGCTTATTCTTAGGCCTGCATGAAGAATAAATACTGACTGTGGCAAGGTAAAGAAAAGTTGCTAAAACCACTGTCTGTCATTTTTCAATGGTGACTTGAACCACATGTGTGGATTACATGCCTGTGACATCAAATTCCATGCTGACTCTTGAGTGCACCAGTATGTGGCATATAGAGGATTGCGGGTAGGACAGTCTCATTAGGAAAGAGAATGGGAGAGTGCTAGTGATAGTCGTGGGATGAAGGCTACGAAGAATGGAAGAGTATGATAATCCTGCCTAATGCACACATGATTACAGAGGGACTGGACTGCATCGAACGTGTCGTGTGCAACCTTTGGGGGAAATATATGGAACAAATATGATTTTTGGCCTACATATATCAGTTTCTTGCTCCATCACTTGCTCTGTAGACAACAGTATAGCTATTGATTTTTGCAACTCAAACTTCAGGTCAAGCATTCTTGATTGAAACTGGTTTGAGCTAAACATCCATATATGCTGTTCCTTTATCACAATGTACGTGTACATGGTTTTGTTTATAACTTACTACCAATATAAACCCTAGCAATGTCTGGCATTGACATTATACCCTCGCAGAGTCTTCGTTGGCTCCAATCTCCTCCGATATACTCAAGTTCTAGCACATCGAAACAAACGAACATTTTAATGTGTGGAACGGAAGACTCTTTAACAAAGGCATCCACTGGCTGTTCAGATTTCATTAACCTTCCTTCATTTGCTATGACCATTGCTTATGACCTCTTGGCCCTTCATGGATATATTGTACCAAGGTTATTTAGCTAATTTGTCAATTACATGCACATGAGTCACTAGCGAGTCGATGGGGATGTAATAATGCACCACCAAACAAAAAGAGGGGCTTTTTTCTTTCTTCTCATGTTGTTGTGTGACAAATTCCAAATATCACCTATTCTCTTGTTCAATTGTCTCAATCTGATGCCGAAATATGATCTGTGGTAGTTCTGATAATACATTCCTTAAGATTCAATAATGGGAACTCATTGCATTTTGCATAACATCAGCTTGTCCTATCAGTGGTGTTTAGTGGTGTGCTCGCATGTAAAATCATGGGAAAGTTAAAACTCGAATAGACCCAACGAACGAGTACTTACCATGATAACACTTCATTTCTTTTCATGTATTCTTCATTGCGAAAAATTTTAAACTTACATGGGGCGTCGGACACAGGAAGACAACAACGCGCCACCAATGAAAAGATGTGGCATCCACTTCCCCTTGGGGTCGGACATTCTTAGAATCCAATATCAGCCATCTCACAGTTAGTTAGACAAATATTGATATGTGCTTATGTTCATATATCCTGAAATCCTTCCAAGACATCAAGATTGAGTGCCCACTCTGGCTGAATGGAAATTTCATAACTAAAGACTATGGTAAAACTTTGGATGCCCTGTTCATGGTCGAAAGTCTCGCTATCATTGGCATGCTAGTGTGACTAGAGGCTATGAAAGTGTGTCTCAGTCATTCCCTGAAGTTGAAAGCCTTGGTTCTGGATAAGACAGCGCTGCAGAAAGCAGAGAACATTTCTTTTCGCTACAACACGAACATCCATTTTGTCCATCTCCATGATCTAATGATGAGGAAGATGAGCTCGAAGGATATGCATACAATTATGGAACTGATGGGGGTCAAAGTTCTATGTGAGCTACGCTGCTTGAACTTGAAGGCAGCATCTACTTCCAAAACGGAAGAAACACAGCCTGCACTGCAAGAGAGAGAGAGATTTCAATGCTCTGAAGACCTTTATCTCCAGACCCCATGTCCCTAACCTTGGGTATATTAATTTTGGCCGGGATGAATGTATGTGACCTGATTCACCTCTGCCCTCTAGTCTGATATCGCATATTTCAGTGACCATCTTTCTCCAAAGCAATTGCATTGTACAGTGCATGACCATCGATATTTTTTTCAATTTGCCAATTATTCCACAACTTAACCATGCAGCATGGGGAATTAACGCATGCTCAAAGATGGTTATTATCAAGCTATACATTCTAAATGCTGGTGACGATATTGAGTGCGTGGCATGGAAAAACCTAAGACAACAAATAAACAGCAATATGCTCCTCCAAGTTCAGCTGTGGTACAAAGATGAGGATATGGCAAAGACTACGAAACATAAAGTAGAGCTCCATGGGGCATTAATAGACAGGATCAAGAAAGAGAATGCCAAAATTAGGGTGTTCAATATAGTCACAAAGAAAGAGATGGTGTTGTAGTACTCTTATATGATACTTCACCGAGAACTGTACTCTCCACCTCATGTTATGTCTCCATATGAATATTAATCAAAAATTTCCGAGTTCGGCTTCAGTTTGTGTTTGAGTATGATTCCAGAACAAACTTAATTTCATTCCTTCTGCACTCGAAGAAGAGTGGGATTGTGAGAGCTGATGGGGAGAGATGCTCCCAAATCTATGGACTATAGCTAGTGGCCTGATGGATGGCATAATGTAAGTAAGACAAGTAATAATAAAAGTAGTGATAGTAAGGACAGGTTAAAAGGTGAGTAATGATGTGGACAATGTAATAGCTGCAGGCTGAGGCCCTCATGTAAGACAATGGACAATGTGTGCACGTAGTGGAAAAAAATCCTCTACACTTGCCTGTAGATATTTTTCCGGCTCCCTTGGGCCCCTGGACACATACTTCAAGCAATCTCTTGGATCTGTGCCAAAATGTCTCGCCGTTAGAAAGGAGTCCTTGCCAATACCTCTGCTTGTTCACTTGGCTGTGTTCTTCCAGTGGACTCCTCACCGAGATATGAGGCGTTAGTTCTGACAGCGATCATTTTAGAGATGACCAGTGTTCGCATTCATATGGTCTTTTTTTATATTCTGTCTGGAGTGTGATTTCTACAGCTAATTGTAGGACCAATATGCAGGCCAAATGCGATATTTTAGATGGCCGTGTTATCTGTCTCTCCACTCCTTGTCAAATCAAAAGCCCTTTCGTGTGCTGTTCTAGATCATTGGAGGGATCGGCCTTTGGAACAGTTCGATTCTAATGCACGGAGGTGATTGTTTTTCTTATTTCCTTTCATAATAGCCTGCAGGCCCTCCTGTATCCTTGAAGGAAATGGCAAGTAAGATTACAGAATGTGGAATGGCAGAAAAGGGAATGTTAGACCTCGATTCCAACCAGGCTTTTGGAACTGCCGAAGTCGAACCTTCAGATTGACCCGGTTCCTCTTTTTCATTCTTTTCATCACCATCTTTTATGCATCATGCCATGCTAATCAGTGAATGTTCGGAGGTGACAGTGCATTGTCACACCCTCTGCATGACCTTGTGAAACTCTTTCTGATCCTGCAGTCCGCACAGGAATCTCGGATCTCGTCCTTCTCTGCCATTCAATTTCTGTTGTTGTTTCTATTGTCATTGAGTGATGATAAAAAGGTAATTTCTAGCTGGATGAACCGATATTATATCGTATCCACTCTATGCAGGCCGACGGTAACAAATACTCTTGCTGATCACACCATTTTTGTGGCGAGACTGCAGACGCTCATAGTTAAGCTATTTATAGCCTCACTCACTTATGCAGTTGTGCATATACTTATATCCATGAGATGTACGTTTTATTATCTCGGTCGCCGAAATATATCATTGAGCAATGCCAAAAGGGCCTGATGTTTCAACAAGCTGTATGAATATAATAAAGGGGCACTACAGAAGGGCTCACGTATTACCAGTGTGTAGCTAAATATAACCGTCCCATGCTTTCCATTCATTGTTGCTCCATTAGAATAAAGAGTTGAGGAGATGGCAAGGTCGTCCTCTCCGATGACCCAAAACATTCGGTCTCATGACTGATGACATCCATTAACCTCTTCTTCTCACAGACGACCTTTTTCAAGTAAACAGCATCGACTAAATCGCCGTTCGCCATCCTATTCCATGTCGTTCATGCGATGGGGACGTACAGTTCGCACGTAAGCATTTCATGCAGGTTCATCTATAAGCACGGCTCTTCAAGACTGCTTTCCATGTAAGCTCAGTATGACATTCCCAACTCCTCAAGGCCGCTCATCTCCCATGTTCAATCATCCCCCTCTAGACGGCTCGTTGACGTTCCCAGAGATAGTAGACTACAATGCTGAGCATAGTCCAAACCATCCGCTATTTCGATATGAGGATCCCGATACCGAGGACGTTTGCATGATTCTCTGGAGCGAAGGCATCGCAGCCTTTCACACTGCTGGCCAATACATCAAGAAATACCTCTATGACGATGAGAGTCCTATTGTGATCAGCATTTTGGCAAATGCAAGTAAGCTATCTGGCCAACAGGTGCCACGGGAATGCTCAAAGAAGCCTAGATACCCTTATGTTCTTTGCGACAATTCTCGGTATCATGTGCCTGGGCCACATGCTGTTCGCCATCTCCATCTGGAACTCGGTCCCTGCAGTCATGCACCTCATGAAAGCCACCAATTCTAAGTATTTCGTCGTCACCCCGGATGGTCCAGTGCAGAAGATTGTTGACATTGTTTGCCGCCAAAACGACGACAAGAAAATCACCACCACCATCCCAATGCCCACATTCAGCGAAATCTTCATCGGGTCCTATGAGCCACTTCTGCCGTTCAAGCAGCCTGACTGGAAGTCGACGGCGTTTATTATGCACTCGTCAGAAACCACATGGTTCCCTTCTTCGATCCTTCAGAGTCACGAAGCGATGGTGCGGTTGATCAGATCTCCTTGCTAGTGTTCCTTGTGCTCTGGTTTTCCCATATTATACATCTCCTTTTTCAGATGACAGTGAGGTGGACCTCTGCGGTGAAGTCATCACTACACAATCATGTCCAATGTACCGTGCGTACCCACACATACAATACAGCATGTCCTGTCAACTTCTTATGCTGCTTTCTGTAGATATGCTCGGGTTCTGGACAGCCTCACTTAGTGTATGTAATACTAGCTTTTACGTTTATCAGTTTTCATTCACCGTCAGATGAAGATCGGGGTGGGTGCCATCACTGCTTATTTCCCTCCACACCAGCCAGCCATTATCCCTACCGCTGATCATTTCTTGTCCAGCATTATGAAGATGAAATGCACTTATATTTTCTCTGTCCTCTCTTTCCTTGAAGTACACATAATGTCTTGTCTGTCTTCCAATTGGAAATAATCTGTTGTATAGCAATGGGCACATGATCCTGCTGCTATTCAGGCTCTGACAGTGGTGACAAAAGGAGTAGTAAGTCTGACCATTTCTTTCGTGATTTATCAAGCTGATACAAATATAGGTCTTTTGTGGAGGGCCTCTGTAGAAAGATGCTGGTGATTTATTATCCCATAATAGAGTCAACTTAATTTCAGCATTTGGACTGTGTGTTTTCCTTCTTGTCGAGTCGTCTCTTGGATTAAATTATGTTTAGAATGGAGATTGGAGGGGTCTCAGTCATCTTTGCTAGTACGCATGAGTCATACGTTCTTAACTCGAAATCAAACGTTTCCCACAGAATTTGTGCCACAGAAAGGCTGGGAATGGATGAGAGTCAATATCTCGTCCTTCTTCCATTGCCTCATTTTTAGCTCATCTGCATGATATTATAGCTTGCTAGGAATCTTGAGGCCACCTTCGTACCTACTGAAGAAAGAGATATCTATCGATTGTTCATCAAGGTGAAGCGTATTTCGTAGATGGGTCCATGGCTAACTGTTTCATAGAAATCGGCATTCTGCACACTGACAGTTTTGAACTCTGACATAGACAGTGTCCTGGTGTTCGACACGAAGGATCTAGTCCAGCTGCATCCATCAAACCCGAAATTATAGAAGGTGTATGGGCGCACAGGTACGATGATTATAACTGCTATAGATAAACTATGTTCCGATTCATCCGATGCTTAGATGACCAAATTATGCATAGTACGGGTGTAAGTCTTCAATTCTTTCCGAGCTACAGATCTGATCTTTCATCACATGCAGGAGAAGGTAAGTCTCGGCCCTGAAGTGTCCTCAGTTCTAATAGGTCAAATTCAATAGACAAACCCAGGCCCCATTGGTAAAATCTCCCATTTGCTGTTACATGGTTCTAACATCACCCTGTGTTGTAGAAGCAGCTTTACTAAGTGATAAATGCATTTCGGGAGCTGTCATATTTGGACGAGGGGGATTCCAGCCAGGTGTACTCATACAGCCTTCTGCAGAATATGTCTTTGATCTGAAGGATACAAAGCGTCTGGTGGAGTATCGGTCCCTTATCTGGTTGGATCTATTTCGACATGTTGCTCTACTCGTGCTGACTCAGTCACTCTGACAGGGATACCATTGCACAAATCAACGGACAAGCACCATAGCATTCCAGGGTTTACAAAGAGGTGGGTATCTCCCATGGGGATGTTCGAGTGATAGCTGATTGATTCCATCCAAAGATGATCCTTGTCGCGAGTCTGGACAAACCCTTCGAATTCACAGCGAAACAATCGTTATGAAGGAGAGTGATTCTAAAAGCATACAAGCAGGAAATACAAGACATGTATAAAGCTGTCGATGCAGCGTCTCCAGATATACCCATACCACAGATGCTCACATTGAAAATAGCCACTAATGTCGTTCGCGATATCGTCAAAGGCACATTGCAAGAAGACATTGTCAGTGACAATGACAATATCTTTACTCTTGGAGGGGACAGGTGCACATTTCTGTGAAGTCTCTTGTTTGCTTATTAATGGTCATGGATAGCTTAACGGCAATGTCTATATGAAACTCCATTGTGGGAGTGCTGCGGAAATCCCATATGCCAGTGGGGGTCATCAGATCGCTGCTACCTAATTTTGTGTTTGATCTGCCCACGATCGTGGCACTCGGTGTTTTTGTTCACGAGATCATATTGGGAGCGAGCACCATTGGTGAACGGAACGATATTTCGAAGGAGGCTGAGCCATACTATCCCGAAGCCAATGCAGTCCCTAATCAAGGACAAACTATTGTCAAGCCTCGTGAAGGAAACAAACCACCACTTATTATGATTCATGATCAGTTCTGTTGACTTCCATGCGATCTCTACCTTCATCATCACATACCTAGGTGCTGGAGGCTTTTTCTTTGAATATGCATCTTACACTGAGAAGTTCCGTACAGCAGTTTGGACTCTCCAAATAATGCCGGACACACCTTTAAGATCTCTCACTGAGAAGGCCGCATTCTACTTCCAAAAGATCAAGGCAGAATGACCTCACGGTCCTTATCGTTTTGCTTCATACTCATCCACTAGCATTCTCCTCACTGTATTGGTCAAGCTATTCGAAGATCAGAGGGACACAGTCCTGCAAGCTGTAATGCTCGATCATTTCCCCACATCATTCGTTCACTTTGCGAATAAGTCTGGGAACCCAGACTCTAGGATTCCGGCGAACTTGAAGGTGATCCTCAACCGTGGTATTGAAGCGATCGGCGGACTGATGAACAGGGATGCTAATTGGGAGTCACTCAATTGTTCTATGAAAAAGCTGCTGGAGGCATGAAATGGGAACGATACTAACAAAGTCTTTAAGATCGGGGTTTATAATCTCAAAACATATATTACCGCCACCGCTGAGTTTGTTTATGACCTGACTACTGATAGTGATGGCCGAGCTTCGATGGAAGCTATGGTGTGATGGCTGAGGACGATCAAGGCCCCCATCATTGTTGTTGTTGCCCAAGAAGAGGCTCTTGCGTCATTTGCAAAGGAAGATCGGGAGGAGTGGGTGGATCTTGGGGTGAAGAGATGTCTACCAGATGCGTGGGTGGTCTCTGTGAGTGAAGGGCATTATGAGTTTCTTACAGATGATATGGTGATTCAGGTTCTGCAGGAGGGGTACTAATCTCAAGTTCTACTGTATTCTTGGATGTTGAGTAAATATACTTGCAAATTAGCTGTGCTCTTCTATGTTATGGAGGTGGTCTTACACGGAGTTATGATACTTAGTCCTTCACATTACATTCGCATTGGGACAATGAGGACCTGATTCCCCATGTCATTGGCAGAGATTGCCATCGTTGGCTATTACAGATAAAGTGCAAGGCAACATGTATTGGAGTCAGCAAACTTGAGGTACACTTATAACTGTACTTTTTCCGGGACTGCCTCATATGGCCCAAGAGATGAAAGAGCATAATTTATTTTCATAGGTAAAGGTAAGGTACACACTGTACGTGGTGAATCTCAGGGAAAGCTTGCACCAAATACCATATGCTTCTGACCCATCCCCGCCATACCTCCAAGCCTGAGAGTCATACTCAACTTGATGAACTGTTGATCCTCCATGAATATTATATGCAGATAGCTTGCAGTAAGATTCTAACCACTCATCCCAATACATAAAATACACACTGCAATTGTACACATCTTCTCTAGATCAGAGACTGATGCTGAATGAGGCAATGTCACTGATATCATTTCTCCGGTAAGCAATTCAGATGGTACTGATAGAAGCCCAATAGTGCGACTATCATAAGATTCATAATCTTAACAGTCCTGACACCTGACTAGTTTTCACCAGTCATAAAGCAAGGGAGAGTGATTGGAATATAATTAGAGTTTTGGCGAGGCTTTTATGCAAAGCAAAATGTGTTGGGATCACCTTTATTTAATAGTATAGTCAACGGATTTTGCTCTCTGATACCAGGAACATGTTAAATAGTTCATTCATAGTGTTATGGATCAGTCTGTACCTGATATAGCACATCCCTTGATTTCTGATGGGCCATGCGTTTATCAACAAACTGATCATGTCATACGATCCGATCCGATCCTTCTCTTAAAAGTTCCTCCCACCATCTCTGATCTTAAGTCATCGTCGTCCCTCCTTCTCCCTTTACTCTTTCCCTGGGTTTCTATTATCCAATATTTGTAATGATTCGCGTTGACAAACATGAAACGCATAGCTGGTAATACAGGTCTGTCGCAATGGCTAACTGTACTCTGGAGGCTATCTGTAAGAAGTTGCTCCCTGCGACCATCACAGTTACTGACCTAACCATTTCTGTTATACCAGGTATTTCCAACTGGTGGCAAGATGGATACTATCTTCGTAAGCATGTTATCGTCGTCGTTTGTTGGATGCTGACCTGATGTTGGACTAGGAGATCCGGCACCCGCAGGGATCACGAATTTAGGGCGGGCTTTAGCGTTGATTCGTTGTTAGCTTAGCTATACATGGCGTAGCGCTATTTCCCTCTCTTGGACCCCGCGATGCAGTTCGAACGTATTTTCAGTTTTAATCTTCGACTTCTCCATTCGGGTGTGGTGTCAGAAGGGACCTTGTGTATCAAGGCAGCGCATACATGAAATCAGTGTCGCCGATAAGGATTATATGGACGACCAAAGTGGATTACTGTCTGTACACAAGTTCGGCGTAATTGCGGGTTCCGTGGATACGGAGCATTTTCGAAGGCTTCTGTGCGGGCTCAGTGTTCCAGCGTTCAGATGACCTCTGCCGCGCCCTCATTTTGTTCTCAGTCAGCTGCCATGATTTTGGCAGGTGCCGGGCTGGGGATGACATCGAAATGAGTCCTCTACGAGTCATCTTCACATCGTCTTTCGCCGTCGTTCACCACATTTCACCGTCGTCATCCCCGTCGTCATACTGCAGTAAAATCTTATTCTTTTATCTTCTTGTTGATGTTTTTGCTCGCACTCGCACCTCCCCCTGTATATTATATCACCTCTGTTTTCCTTTTCTTCTTCTCTGTCTGTATTAGTACATATTTGCGATTCCTCTATTTCACTCCTCGCCAATTCACCATTTGGTTTCCCGGTCAGTAGGATATCACCGTTCAAAGAGTCATCGCTCATTACCAGTGGGCAGTGATATACATTAGGTAGCATATTTTACATCGTAGCCATTCTCCTCGTTGGACCCAGTGAGACGGTTATACAGTTCAAATATATGTCGTGTAACGGTAAATGTATGTGGCCACCGGGGGTACGGGAGCTATATATAGGCGATACCTGCATATTACTGGGTGAATGTTGCGGGATGCTTGGGCATCTATCTGAACTTTATCTGTGGGTCACAAGATGAGGCCATGGGTGCGGCAGCCCGTGCTTTATATATGGGCTCTCACGGCTCCCCTTCTTCTCTCACATCTATCAACAATGACCACTTTTTCGGAGTACATCGTCGCTACGCATGGCGACACAAATGTTTTCATCCGTAGACATGAAGCCACTTATTATGATGTGAGCATTCCAAAGTCGGTGATGATGATACGTTCATGATATTCCCAGAACTTTCTCTCTATTCTTCACCAACGTTTCCCGAGTATCGCCAGAGAGTCAATGATCATCCAAACCAATGAGTTGGGTATCTGCGCTGGACGGTATGTTGATATTGAGGATGATATGTGGCTGGAGGTTAGCCCTCAGATTCATAATATCAAGGTTATCTCTCGTGCGTGACGGTGCTCCTTGCTGATCAAAACTACTGAAGCATGACTAGGACCGACACAAACATCGACGCAGCCTGCCCAACCTGTGAAGACAGTTGATCCGTTTGCCTCGTTTTCTAATGCTTGTAAAAATTGTGGTACGGTGGGACACTCGAAGGCTCGTTGCTGGCGTAAGGGCGGCGACATGGAGGGACAATACCCTGCCTGGTGGAAAGGGCCGCGGTGATACGCCGCCGAAGCGTATAGTAAGAGAAATACCCTCGGAAAGAAATTTTGCTGTATTTTCAAAGCATATTACTTGTGTACAATAAATAAAACTACCAGACAGGATGAGTATGAGTACGCACAAGCGCAGCGCCAGGGATTCAGCTGAATTACCAGGGTGTCATAGCCAGATTATTAACGCGGGACTCGAATGCCGAAGATCCAGGCCGGTCCACGCACGTGGCAAGAACCGGTTAGGGATTTGCTCCGTCTACACACCGTACATCTCGAGGCTGTACAATACAGGAAGAATACCGCCGTTGATCCCTTGGCGGTAACGTCGAGGGTCGAGGTCGCCACTTTAATGGAGAAAGACGATACGATACTAGAGGTGTATAAAAAGCATCCTGTGAGGGCTTAATGCAGGTACAGACCGTCTGATGATTCTTATATTCAAAATACTAGACATTTTATACCATTGCTGGACCTACGGGCCGCTTCCGCTATTCAAGCAGCCGGATTAGAAGCAAACAGCATTTATCATGGACTCTTCAGGAACGACACGGTTTCCCTCTATGGTCTTTCAGAGTCACGAATCGATGTTGCGGCTAATGAAGTCTCCATGTGAGTTTCGTCGTTCTGTAGTTTATTTTTCTAGATTATACATCCCTTTTTAATGTTATGGAAAAGTGGACCTCTGCGGAGAAGTGGTCACTGCACAATCATATCTGATGTACCGTGCGTACCACACAAAATACAGCGTGTGCTGTCATCCTCATGCCGTCGTCCACGGATATACTTAGGTTCTGGATAACCTCACTCAGCGTACGCGATTTTCAGCTTTGCGTTCAGCCATTTCGTTGGTTATTATATCTAGGTAGCGGCAGGTGCAATCACTGCACATTTCCTTCCACAGCTGGCCGTGATCCCCACCTCCGGTCGTTTCATATCGAGCCTCATGAAGACGAAATGCATCCATATTTTCTCAGTCCCATCCTTCCTTCGAAGTGTGCATTTCTTGTTTACTTTCCATATAGCCACTAAATTCTTCAATATCAATGGGCACACGATTCCTCTGCTATTCAGGCTCTTAAGGTGACACAAAGACTAGTAAGTTTCACACCTTTTCCTGTTGTGTCTCCATGGAGTAAACATTTTTTCGGCATTAGTCTTTTCGTGAATTATTTTATGTTTAGAACGGAGGTCAGAGGTGTTTCAGTCACCTTTGCGAGTACGCATTGATCGTCTGTTCTTCTTAATTTGAATTCAAACAATTCCAACAGAATCTGCGCCACCAGAAGGCTGGGAGTGGATGAGAGTTGGTATCTCATCCATCTTTCGCTGCATCACTTGGTTGGTCTACATGATGGGTTGCTAGGAATCTTGATGTCGTGTTCGTGCGCACTGAGGAAGGAGGTATATATCGATTTGTCCATCGTACTGTGACGTTCCTTCATTTGCCACAACCGTCGCTTATAACCTCTGGTCACGTCGTGGATGTATTATACCGAGGGTATTCAGGTCATTCTGTATTATATTCCATAGGTCACTAGCGACAGTCGACCGGGATGTAATAATGCGCCACCAAACAAAAGGTGCGGCATTTTCTTTTGTTGTTGCGTGACAACTTCCAATGATTTTCTATTCTGTTATTGAACTGTCTCAATTTGGTGGCAAACTATGATCTTTGGTAGTTCTAACATCACATTCCTTAAGAGTTAATGATACATCTCCTTGTCCGGTCTGTCGTGTTTAGCGGTGTGGCTCGTATCCAAGATCCTGGGAAAGTTAACGCTCGGATAGACCTAACGGTTGAGTACTGCGACGGCACTTCTTTTATTTTGAGGTATTCTTCTTTGCGAACTACTTTTAATCGTACGTGGGACGTTGAAAACGGAGAGATAACAACGCGCCACCGACAAAAAGTGCCGCATCTTCTTTCCTTCCAACGTTGTTATGTTTCTATTTCCCATTACGTTCAATTCAATAAGGTGTCGAAATGTGGGATCTGGTCGTTTTCGGATAACTACTCACTCTCGCTAACGCTACACATCACAAGCAGCTGACTGAACATAACGCGTATATAAGGGCTATGGACGCTCACCTGCTTTATCATCCGCTATTTCCTCATTGATTTTATTTTCCCTGCGCATGGCGTCTCTCACTTCTCCCCATTCCCATCTCACCAGTGTGGGTCGAAGACCTGATCACAACGGAGAATTAGAATTTCACACTCTCGACAGCATCCTATCCTTCCTCTCTGAATGTCAGAACTTTCCTCACCTGCGCAATTATTCCTCCCTCCGCATCGAGAATGTGGAATTCCAGAATATCGGGCAGCTGGAGACCTTGATTCTGGGAGACGGACTTAGGACTTTTGATAGTCTTTGCACAGTGTCATTACACATGATAACTATTGTCGACAAGTCCGCATGCTCTCAGCTTTGGTCGTACTCCAAATTCAATATCGGCCATCTCATTGTTACGTCGACAAATATTGATCTGTGGTTATGGTCATATATCCTGGCACACTTTCAATACATCAATATTACCCGCACACGCACTGGACGCATCGGTTCTATAACTAAAGACCCTAGTAAAAATTTGGACGTCCTATTCATGGTTGAAGATTTTTCTATCATCGATATCAAAAGTCGAACCTGAGGCAATGAAAGTGATTCTCAGCCATTCCCCTGACTTGAGAAACTTGGTTCTGGACAAGATGCGGCTACAAAAAGCAGAACCAATTCCTCTTCGCTAGGTCACAAAGACCGATCTCACACATCTGTGCGATCTATCCATGAAGAACATGAGCCAGGAGGATATATGTAGGGTTATGTAAATGATGGAGGCTGCAGACCTAGGTGAACTACACTCCTTGAATGTGATATCTACTTCCACGGAAAGACCGTCGTCGGCACAGCAAGGGACAGAGAGATACCTTGGTACTCTGAAGACCTTATTGTCCGTCCCTAGTGTTCGCAATATACATTTCGGCCGGGATGAGTGTATATGACCTAATTTACATCTGTCCCCTGGTCTGATATCGCATGTTTCAGTGACCGCCCTTCTCAAAAGCAATCGCATTGTGGAACGCATGACCATCGATAATTTTGCCGGTTTGCCCATTCGGCCACAGCTTGACTATGCAGCCCTGGGGATTCAACGTTGTACAATGTACTTTAGTATCCCGGTATACATTCTTGATGCTGGCCCTGATATCGAGGTCGCAGCGTGGAAAGACTTGGGACAACGATTGAGCAGCGATAATGAATTGCTGTTGCTTCAAGTTGAGTTGTGGTACAAAGATAAGGATATGGAAAGGGCCGCCAACCATAAAGCTGGGATCCATGGGGCGTTGATAGAGAAGATCGAGAGAAACAAGGCCGAAATTAAGACGTTCAGTATGGATACTACAAAGGGATAGTGTCGTGGTAGATCTTGTACGATAATTAACCGAGAACTGTACTTTCCCTTTCATTCTATGTCTGCGTATAAATGAGTATTCCCAAGCTCTGCTCCAGTATGGTTTTGAGTCGGACTCTCCAGGAAAACCTTAATTTCATTCCTTGTGTAACAGTCAGTCTTAATTCTGCTCAAGGTCCACTTCCATCCGTACCAACCTTGGCAAGCCGAAATACATGAAAAAGGTTCAGATAATCCAAGCCCTGCCCATCATACTGCAGCAATGACCTGTCTCTCAATCTTCTCTCTGCTCGTCTTCCAAGTACCCCCTTCTAACTTGTAGTTCCGGGTCGTAGATGATCCACAGCCTCTGTGAATGATACACACGCACACCAGCAGATCCTGCGCCACCGACACTTCCGCCATCGTGGTATTCTAATCCGAACTGATCAGCGCAACCGTAACGTTCTATTGCAATGATCCTCCAATTCTGACTGAACGTCCTCTCCGTCTGGTTCATCAAGATGAAATTGCTTGACGACACGTTGGACTCGGCCCCAAAGTCCAATGAAGAAGATGGTCATCGGTACGAAGAGGGAGGGCGTTTCTGGGAGATGTTCATCCGATTTTGAGTGAGTTAGGGGCGAGGATGCAGACGAGGAAGAAGGCATGAATGACGATAGCCGCGGTGATTACAGGGAGGATCTTCCAGGACTTGTTCGATGACGTAAGGCAGAGGGTGGGCAAAGGACGTGGTAAACCGAAGAGATGATTCAACTGCCCAACAGTTATTTCTCAGATCGGATGCATTTAAAAGGGGGCTCTTTCTGGGGTAAGAATATGTCGTGATATTGCTGGTTCTATACTTTTTTTCCAACGCTAGACTTCTACGAATCATCGCACTGGGTGTCGGCATATCCTACACTGGTCCATGTTCCTTGGCGGCAGTTATGAACACTATGTATTCCATATTCACTATGGCTCGCTCAACTTCGTTGCGTCCAAGATGTTTGCCGGATCGTGGGAACGGATCGGACATTGGCGTCGCAGCTACCATTTAATGCATCAACGTTCAAGCCCTCGCCTTAGTATCGCGTAAGGTCCACTAGTACCTGCATTTACATATACCCAATTTTCATGTAATACGCGTGTTAGAGTGTTGTGCAGATATCTAATTAATAAGATAAGTCATACACGCACTCGGAATGTGAGAGATACATCTGAGGTGCGGAATACAACTACGACATATATACTATATGTATATAGCAAGCATGTACATAGACAGGTAAAATAAAATAAAATAAAGTGTAAATAATATATGTCCATGGAGAAATAAGGGTCCTGACTACAGGCACATTTGCAACTCCAATATCACGTCAATCATTAGACTCCGTGTGGTGAGCCTCGCATACATGATCTCGTGTATAGTCATCCTAGTTGTGCAGAGAAGTTCCCGTCACTGAGCGCTCAGATGCGGTAAAACAGGCCACTTTTCGGGACGTTGCGCCTCGAAATACAATGCAATACTATCCAGGGAACGGCTCTTAGGCGTCACCGCTGAAAACGGACTGGGAAAGTTGATTCTTGTGCCGTGGAGCAAACATCATTGGAGACTTAGGTGTATATCACTTTTAACTAGTGCGATTGCCACCTGTTTTGGAGCTTATTACAGAAGACGCTGCTCTCATTATAAGGCTTCGTTTCCGCCCTAACGAATGAAACTATCTCCAGCGAAAGCCGCGCTGTTTTCAGAAGAAAAGATTCGTACTACTAGCCATAAGTGACACTAAATATGAACAAGAAAAACTATCGCATAAATTCTCCCTCTCCTTGTCGATGGCATACTACCCGAAATGGGCTCCCGATCTACAGTGCTACATTTACCAATTGATAACAGGCGGGAAATATTTGGCAATCAGGGCTTGATAGTAAGGCTTGACCGCCTCTACGCCCACGGGAGTATCGCTTTTGCTGTACAAGTCGTATGGGTTGAAAGCTCGAACAGCGGCGAGACACTTTTCATCTTCTTCGTTGGTAAGATGGGAGTACGCTCCCTCACGGTGCCATCTGATGCTCATTGTCAGGGTCAACGGTGCCAGATATGGAGACAAACGTAACGTACGGGTAGAAACTGTGGTATCTGATCATAGCAAGGCCTTCCTTTGGCAAAGAAGACTGGTCTTTGAGAACATTGTAGAGATACTACAAGGGCCGCTGTTAGCGAAACCATAATTCCCATGAACGAATAAGATCCAGACCTCGTCATGTCCCCACGAGAGCATGACATTGTCCAGCCCACAGTGCGGCTCGTACATCCCATAGTGGGTTGAATAAACAGGGTGGGAGGAGTCTGGGTTCGCCTTGAAGGTCTCAGGGTAGATGATCTTGTCAGAGAAACGGCATCCCACGACGAATGTATCCTGTATGTATATGACAGACATCAGTATCAAGACACATGGAAAGCTAGCAACGCACACCAACAACATCCCACTGACCCCTGATGTGATGATATATATCAAAATTAGGCACGCGTCCTAGACATAGGCAACCAACTCACTCTGAACCGAAAAGGAAAAGCAGTTTCCCCAAATCATGTACAAGACCTGTGACTTGCATCCACTCGGGTTTGCCGTCACGACGAATGGACTCGGCGGTTTGCAGGAGGTGGTCGATTTGGGAGAGATCAATCTGTGGGGAGGGTTAATGGGTCGGGGCGGGAGCAGTCAGGGGGTGGGGGAAGTACGTCGGGATCCGACTCGTCTATGAGAGTGTTGAGGAGCTCGAGAGCCTCCCATACGCCTAGGCTGTCGGTGTCATTGACAATTCAAAACGCTATCCTGTAACGCACCCATTCTCGCACGTACATTGTTCTTCAAGTTTGCGCGCGCCTCGAGGTTAAAATGCACGGTCTGCTTCTCTAAAATAGCATGACTAAGAGGGGTAGCTCTGAGAAATCTCTGTTGACAGACATACCATGCTGTTCCTGATAAAATCCTTTAACGCGGTCGCATGCGTTGGCGTACTGTCGGAACCGTGTCTTGTCGAGACCTTCGTCGAACTCGGATTGACTGTCCCAGACATTAGCTGTCCCCTTGAGAATGTTTACTGATAACGCTCTAGCAGTCAGCGTTCGTCGGTTCAATAAATCGATTAGCGTCTACCTCTGTCTACGGCATCCGAAATGGCGTCAAAATTGTTCGAGATGGTCGACATGGCAGAAATTTGACTCCGAGGGCAATCAGCTTGTACGTCTTTAAATACCCAGCAGCCGTGCCTAAATACTGAAACTGATGGATTTGGGGTTGCGATCCACAACGGTCAGAACACCGGAAATCCGGTCCGCTTCGTTTCTTTTTCAAAAATTCTCGGCCCGCGCGGTTGCTCTGGGGCGACGTTTGTGATCAGCTGGGTACCCTCGGCAACGTTCAGTGGATCCTTGAAAGGGGGTTGGAAATCCGATACCACGGATGTGTTTCTGGACTGTGGAGGCTGCTGCGCCCTAAGTATTAATAGCTCCTGATCGCTGATCTAGTCATCCGACTGCTTTTTATGATGGGAAGATAATTGGTTGTTACGAATTTGACGCCCTTGTATTCATGGAGGCTCTGCAACAACAATACTAGAGCCAAATATGGCGACAACGGGAGCTATTTCGTCCTCGGAAATTGAACCTATCGTCTGCTGTGGAGCTGGAACTGGGATTTAGACTCGGCTTCTTCCTTCTTCATATTTAATTTAAGACCTTCGAGACACGGAAATGGGGCCGAGGGGAGGAAGGGTCTGGTGATTCATAGAACAGTCACAGAGAGAAGCCGTAAAGCAAACTTTGGTTTATATCTCTGGTCGGTTGTGCCTCTAGGCTGATTAGAAGGATGAGGTTGCGGTCTATTCGCTATGTCGAGTTTTAGGAATGGAAGACAATCGGGAGCACTGAAGCGTAGCATATGAGAATATTCGCTTCACTTCAATCGGAACATATCGTAAAATAAGAAAGTAGCTCGAAGATCCGGCTTCTCGTCGCGGTATTCTTCGCAAAACACCGGTATCTTATCCGATATCAGAAAACGCGGTTTCGAACAGAGAATGTGTCACTCACTATTGGTTTCAATATTTCCCAGTAAAGACATATGACATATGGCACAATCAAGGCCGGTAAAGTGCTCGAAGAGCAGACAGAGACCCCGCTGTTCCGTAGGATGTGAGATTGAAAATAACGGTTGATAGAACCGAGTCAGAGAATGTTTAGCCTGAGCGGGGCATATGACAGTAGAGATAGAAGATACTAAGGTGACCAAGCACTCGAGGGAGAAATATGTAGGGTAGAACTCGTCCAGTCGAATGGAACCAATGTCACCTAATAATATCACGTCTAGATTTCGCCGTGGTCAGCGGGCAGTGGTTCATAGGAATAAAGGCCTGTCTCCAAAGACCACTGGCTTTCTAGGATAATCCGCAAAAGACCTTGTGTCTTGACGCCAAGACGATAAGGGATGGATGGCCGTGAGGCCACTGCCCCTTGGGGTAAAGAAAGTGCTAAATTAACTTCGCACACGGCAGCATCCGTATAGAGCCAGCGCGATAGCGACCTTCCATCAAGACCAGATCCAGTCCATTGGGGAATAAGGTTTTCTGTACGATGAAGCACTCGCCGACTTGGCCGCAGGCATCCAAGCTAGTTTCGTTATCATCCGAGATGGAAACGGCGGTCTATCCAAAGAAAACGAGATACTCTCTATCCTCTCCTAAGATCGGAGTAAAATATGATAACCAGATGTCCTCACCGCTCCGGACACCCGCTCAGGTGGTCATGGAAGACATGGCTACCCAGGTGTCTTTTCATCATAATGTATGATAGCGGTCAGCTATTTGAATGCAGGAAACGCCAAAGAATGACATACCAAGGAGAATATGACTTCTTGGGGAGGACGTCACACGTCAATGCCAACGGCAGCGGTTTGGTCGTCTGCTCAATTGCTGAAACATATGTTCATTATCGCCGATGGGAGATATCACTCACGGACCTTTCGTGCCGGTCGCGCGTTGCGGGTACAGAACCTTTCTCCTATAAAATTGGAGCATATTCCTGCGTCGCCGTCGATTCGATGCAGCCACAAGTCCGCTTGTCAGGATAGATGTGTGTCTGAATGCAACGTTTCCGAGTCTAGTAAATCGAAGTAAACACACAATTGTGAAATAGGCCGATGCCTGTAACATTAATTTCTCTAGTTGTACTTGGTGGAATGAGCGAGGAACAGCTAATAATCTGTTATATGCTGACACGCCGCAGAATCTGAGTTGTATGAAGATTGAAGGGTCCGTAGGACTCAAGCAAAGAACGGGGCCTTATTGACATCCTTGTCAACTCTAGGAATAATATGCGAGGGGGGCACTTACCCATTGAAAAACCAGCTGTCGGTACCTAACGACTACAAAATGCTAGGTCACAATAAGTTACGGATAATCAGAGAAATATTGTACTGTTGTCCAGTACCCGGAAATTTTCGCGCATCAGTGTGTCCTGACAATTATAAAAATACGATAATGAGTACGGTTGAAGACGACCTTTGAGGCAATGTTCGATTCGTTGGTGCTGATATGAGGGGAAAAGAGTGAGGTGGCAATAACCACGTGGCATCCCGTGCGGGCGGCACGTGGTATCTGCCTCGGACGCAATGCTCACAGCTTCCTCGATTTTGCACCAATTGACGCCGTTTCACAACATTATGGGGGTGGAGATGCTGCGATGGTCTAATGCTTTGGTTTGTTTCTTTCCCGTCTCGATTGTTGGGCTAAACTTCACTGTATGCGACAATGGGAGCGGAGCGTTCTACTGGACCCCTTTCATTGATTCTCACCGACTCTTGCTCATTTCGCCATCAGAAAATTTTTGTTTTCGTTTCCTGGTGGCACGTCGGGCATGGTCAGGACCTCATGAAATTTGGCTTGATGATAATGATATATATTCAAATACCTGGTATTGGCCGACTGGCATAATGTGCCGAATGATGAATCTGTGAAAGGCGTGAGATCTACACGATTCTGTACGGCAAAAGGACGGCTGCCTTCTTGTCAAGCTCGCTATCTTGCTCTCTTGAGAAGTACCGAAACCGGTTACTTCCCCAGTCGGCTTGTCTTACGACTACACGAAGGCAGTACTGGATCTCTTCCTCTATACACGCCACAGCCTTTTCATCTCTATATACCATGAAGTGATGACCACTGATGATCATATTTATTAGGATAGCAACGATACAATTCCCACAACGATGTGGTGACGACTACAAAAGCTGTGCTGTCGTTACCAAGTTTGTCGTACACTATTCGGAGGCGCCCCTTGCTTTAATAGCATATTCTATCGGGACTATCTATTCGCAAGACTGCGTGGTTCGCACCTCACTACGTCGCCATATGTCCACTGGAAACGTGTTTTTCATGAGAAAAGGTATGTCCGCACAGTGTTGGTACATGACGTATCCTCGGAATTCTCGCTATAAAACGCAGCGTGAACGCATCAAGTACATATTAATCCTTATTGTTCACTCATATCCCTTCTGGCTCCACAGAGATGACCGCCCTTCGCGCAGACCGTACCTCCCTCGGCGCTGTCCTCGATTTTGTGGATGGCTATCGTCGTGATGAGTACCAGCGCACGGGGGTCTTAACGAAGATATCCTTTCCGTCATTTGCCACTGCCTCGCTTGTTTCGGCAATCCTGCGTAATCCTGTGTACCTTGGATACACTTCCGTTCTACTTCCTTCCATAGAGTTCAACGACATGGATGATATGGCCCTATGTCTCCGAGATTCCGCGATTACTGTCGCACCCGCACATGGAGACCTCCGAAAAATCACCTTAACCAATGCGAGGTTCCGGACCTCCCTCAATCGACCAGTAGCTGGCCGTCACAGTGACCCGGATTTCCACATACTGGTTATCGACGAGCTGGCGTTATTGAACCTCGGGTTGTGGTCAAATATTTTGAAGCCTTTCCTTGGTGTGTTCTTTATCGATATTGACCAAATTGTCCCGTTTCGCTTTGACGGAAATTTGGACGCTCTCAGCTGGACCTCCAATCTGGCTTACCTGAAGTTCTCAAAGGTATTCTTATCTCGGGATATTTTATATCGAATTATCTGCTCCTGCCCAACGCTCGACATTCTCACTCTTGCAGATATTCGCTTCAGTTCTACAGAAGTTCCCAGTAGGCAAGCAGAGCCTGTAATAGATAACGAAGGACACCATCTGAAAGAATTTTCCGTCTCCAACTTCCCTGATGCTTATATGGTTGATTTTCTCAAGATGATCCGGGAATCCTCTCGAATCAAGTTCTCCGTCCGTCATCTACGAAAGCTGGTCATCGATCTAGCCCCCACGTCCAACTTTTTGCTTAGTGCTGAGTTAAAGTATGAGATCGCAACTCTTCTCAGGGACAATCTTTCCCGAAGCGTCGAGGAGCCCCGAAGCAAACTACAGGAATTGCGAGTCATTTGCGACGCGTTTGATGGGTACAGTAAGTCCTCCTACATGGGCCTCTTTTGTCTATCTCTCATAAATGGAGGACAGCGCCCGGTAACGAACTCCCACAAATATCGCTAACCAGCCTTATCCGGCACTCAAACCTGTCAAAGGTGACTCTGGACGTCTTGCAGAGTTCGGCAATGCCGGTCCTGTGTCGCATAATGGATTCCCTGCCAAGGGATGCTCGGCTCAATATCATTTACACTACACAAGGCGGTGTGAGTAGAGAATTAGAGGCTTTGGATAGCGCAATTTTAGAACGCTACCAGAGAGGGCGTCCCATTCCCGGGAACCGACCTCCTCCCATCGTTGTATCTTTGGTAGGAGGAAGAACCATGTAATCAAGCACGAAGGTGATGCGAGAAGGTAGTCTTGTAGTTGTCGCGCCCTAAGTACCGCGTGACTAGGTCTATTGCATAGTCTGACAATACACTGGCTTTCCCATCTACCTCGTCGACCCCCCCCCCCTCGAGCAATATCCTCTATCTAAATTTAATATTATTTCATGGAAGACCTCGAAAGGTTCTAATTCCCTCAAACATGTTGTATCTCACTAACAAGATGGACTACGCGAACACCAGCAAGAATTCACTCTCTACATCTGGAAGTACGCGATAACCCCGAATTCTACGCTGGATTTGAGGCAAAAAGGAAGCCAGTTGGCGTTGTTATCAGAACAATGATTCGACATCGTGCGTATCCATCTCCTACTTCCTTGAAAATATACCGGAGCAGATCTCTGAGCTCGAAGCATTCCACCTTCGAGGTATATCTCTCTGTCATGATACAGTGGTGGAGGTCCGGCAAACCGGCATAAATCTTGTCGAAGAAATTACTTCATATAACAAATATTAAGGTATCTGTACAGATCCTGAGCATTTGAACGAGAAGGAATGGCAGGTGATTGTCAAGTCGGATGGGTCCTGGTCGAACGCTTGTGTTGAGGAAGCACATCTCATTAATGCCTCTTTTGTAGAGTTGTTGTAGAAATCTTGCAGCATTTCCGCTTTTCAGGATACATGGATACAAGGGAAGTACACACGAGGAAATACGACACTGGTATCGCGTGAAACGAGTGATAGCAAAAAGCCAATGCGTCAAATTAATGACGCGTCACGGTCACGTTATCATATTTTACATAATAAGGTCAGTCGCACGGTACTTGACCGAGTTAGGCAGCAGACTACATATACCGTCCTCATCCTGTGAAAAAGGTATATCGTCGTCTGTCTAGGAGAGACTAGCGAGGAGATCAATGGGACGTTCTCTCTTGTATCATTCTGCGATAGCCCTATCCGAAGCCTCCAATTCTCTACCTGCATCGCCCTGTGTAGTGGAAATGATATTGAGCCCAGCATCCGAAGTAAATTATGTTCAGGAGGTGTGGTATTTTAAAATATAAATGAACTATGAATAAGTCAGAACACATATTTTGCACCAGAGTATATGGATGAATCATGTAGCGATATTTCCTAGACAGTACTCTTATTCCTAGGCCTCTATGGCTCATTTATATTGTAAAATACCACACCTCCTGAAATTAATTTACTTTTAGGTATATCTGTGACCGGCTATGCTTGTCCGTATATGAAAGAATTACAATAATCTACTGTTTGTTAAGAGCACAGTCCATAATGTCCTTCAGGGTATCGTCCAAAGCCGTCATGCGCGACCTTTTCCTCGGATAAGGAGATGAATCGTCGTTCCGTCACGAATATCATACGATGAAAGACGATCTTCGAATGCCAGCCATCGTCCCCCATAAATCAGATGCTGCTCCTCCGGCGGATGACCCTCGGACTCCTGTACCAGCGCTGCTAGGTCGGCGACCAATGCCGACTGAGGTAGAGATAGCGGAATCTGTTTCCCAGCGATCGTCTTCACGCAAATCGCCATCAGTGGAGACGTCGCTGGAGCGAGTCCTACCCCCAAGTGAGTATACCAACGGATGACAATGACATCCTGGTACTCACGACTGACGACTCTGATGTTAGAGACGAACTCGCTCATTTCTTGCCATAGGCTCGGTGGGATGTCGACGTAGTGCCCGGCGCATATGTCCAGCTCGTTAGTTTGCACGACCAGTGCCAAGGAGTCCGAGCCTGGAAAGAAATGTTGCCGAGTGATGCCAACAAAATCCTTCCACGCAGCGCGTGAGTCAGAGCATTTCTCATCGATGTCAAATGCTTACCGCGTACTGCGATACTTCAGATCTACTGACAAAAACACGAGTGTTTCCGTCAGTAGCGACGATGTATCTTTTAATCGCTGGGTCGCACATCTTTGGTGGAGGAGGAAGAAGGAGGGGCGGTCAGGATAGCTTTTGCTCCTTCGTACTGGATTTTATGACAACTCGGAAATACGTTAGAAGTATGTCCGTCGCCCGTGGGGCTGTGTTCGACTTCTCTGAGAATTGACGGCTGTGCGAACATTGAGCGACAGAAGAAGGAAGATCGATTGAAATGGAGATCTCTCGGGTGATTCACTGGGTACCCGTAAATGGACTTGATTGAAAGACATACGTCAAGAGAGCGTAACCGTAGTATAGCAGGTTTCGTCTCCGAGTGCATGATCGTGATTGAAGAGGAAACCTTGCGTCGCCGGCGGAACCGAATCAGTGTGCACAGGTCCTCTGTTGCTGACCTATCCTCTGCTGATAAGACTTCTAGCCCCACAGAAACGCCATAACCTCGTTAATTCCTCTCCGCACCAAACCTATACACGCTTCGATTGATCGATGTCAAGTCCACAAGGTACAGAGGCTATACAAGTGCGTTCCTCGGCTCCAGCGCCCCCTTTTAAAGGGGATATAGCTCGAGGATAGTGCCTGCACGCAGAACATACCTGATCAACATAGTTGGTTTAATTCCGCACTTTGTTCCGGGGAAAGCTACGGGAGTCTAAGTAGCGCGCAGAAAGGATTTCTTTATGGTCATTGCAGAGAATAAACCGTGAGCTCGTTTTCATTCCTATGCCAAAATACACCAAAGAGTGTTTCACAGCCGAGCATCCTCGATCAGGCCCTCCCTAGTTATCGTCGTGAACCCAGCAGCAGATGTATCTGGCTCAACCTGGGATCTCTTCCCGTCTTTCAAACGAGGATCGTCGATCCATCATGAATTCCATAAGTTGATAGGGTGTATTCGAATCTGAGCTCCCTCTCCCTATAGAACAGACGCTGTTGTTCTGGCTGTATCCCCTCAGGTTTCTGCACCATCCTCGCCAAATCAGAAACCGATGATGATTCCGATAGTATCACCGGTCTCCTCTTTCCGGTAATGGTCTGTATCCAGATCGTTATTAACTGTGAGGTCCTGCTAGACGAAGCTGGGTTCGTTCTTGGTCCTACGCCCGAAAATGAGAATGATAAATAACACGGAAGGCGTGGCGTACGACTGATAACCAATATCCTATCGATAAATTGTTTCGTTTCCCACCAAGTGTCTGGGGGAATATCGACCCACTGCCCAGCACACACATCTAATTGATTGGATTGTCTGTCGATGCTCGGGAAGTGGCTGTGGACGACGGATATCAGATCCTGTTTGCTTATCAGCTGGATGGATCCCCAAATAAATTGGAGAGCTCACTTCGTATAGGGTTATATCACACCGATTAACGAGTCGGTAGCGACCATAAATTTCTTAGCTGAATTCGTTCCGTAGACATTGTGCATGTCAGCCATAAAGGAGGGGCCTTAGGGTGTTATGGATTTCGGTGTATCGATGGAATTCCCAGAACGTTTAGAAGTCTCCAGTCGCTTGAAGCCTTTTCCTTTCCTTTCTATCCCTTTCTGTACTTTCTCTTACTCAACCTAATGAACTCGTTATGACTCATGACTTCACGAAACTTATTGAACCTTCTAGTAACACCCATTTGTATATAAACATAGCTACATGTACTAGGTATCAAATTCTTACTACCTATCTTGAACCGTACACTTTGCGTGACCTGAAGCCACGGAAACTAAGCTTCGCGCTAGTCTGCTAATTTATTTCAAGATACCTGTAAGATTACCTCGAGCTCGCTCGAACCCATGCCTCGCTCATGGATACTATCTTCTCACGAGTCACGCTCACGCTCTTGTTCTCTTACTTCCCGTACCTCGACTACTAAACCCTTGCTCTATCAATTAGCTACGGTATCCAACGTTTACAATATAGGGACAGTTCGGAGCCTGTAGTTCAGGTCCTGTGGTCTACATCAACACGCGAAGGAAACGAGGTACACTGAGACATAAGCGCCCACTGATAGAGAACGATCCATGTGCGAAACGGAAAAAGGCAGTCTTCGAAAGAATTTCAGTCGAGGAGAAATCTATGTAGAAGAAAGCATCTCACTATGAATCTACAAGCGACACGACAAGATGTTATAAATAATGGATCGCCTAGAACACACGAGGCCACGAGCAGAGAGAACGTCAAGTCACACTTCCATAACGACAAATCACGAATTTAAAGTTATAGCCAGAAGCTTCTCCAAGCCAAAATCAACAGAAGCCACACGAGTAATCGAGACTGGGGACATTGTATCATGGAACTTTTCAATTAAACAGCGAATCACAGACAGCATTACTTCAGTAGGTCCCGGCCGGAGGTGCAAACCAAGGAGAATATGCATTTTCACAACCTCACCTTGCATCGGTGGGTGCTCCTAATGACAATCGTTGCCCGAGTATTTGCCTGAAAGAAAAAAGACGTATTCAGTTCGAGAGATTTCCGCGGTTGCGAATGAAGTAATACCTTGCGGCGATTAGGCAATCACCGAGAAACCGGGGAAGCCCGACAGGTGTCCCGTATGAGCGTCTACTGCTCAGAGCCACAGACACTGCCTGGTTCACAAGGAAGAATGATCTCGTAAGTACAGCGCCTTAAGAAAAATGCTGTTACTCCGTAACAAGGGAAAAAGCACATTTTGTGTTCTCTGAAGGCATCATTGCGTAACAGCTTTGATTATGTCATATGCCGCGGCAATTCATTAGACTGTTTTGTTAGAAAGTAACCAGTAAAACATTGCGTGAAGTGCACAGAACGGACACGAAGCGGTACAAAAAAACGGTCATACCGAGCCTTGCTGTGTTCGGAATTCGTGAGAGCACCGCCAATAACAAGAAATTGTGAAGCCTTTCGTCTTCCTTCCCGTTCAAAACAGCAAACAGCACAGATACAATATTTGGGTTCTCCATGAGTGCGATTCAGCGCTGAAGGTCTGAGGGGAGGGAGAAGGAGATCTTAAGAAACAGGAAAAGTTGTAAAGAATGATTCAGTGCTAACTCTGTGGTGATTGTCAGGAGATGATATTCAGATCTCCCAGTTGTGAGAGCAAGAGATGCCCGCATGCAGCCAGAGTTAAAGATGCGCTTAGCGATACGAGTGCTCAGCGACCGTGGTTTGAATTTCGTTGTGATCACGTGCATGTGGCTCACGGGCCTCCAGCTCGACGCTTTCTGTCACCATTCCATTTGTATCTTATACGGACACCTACCTGAGCCTGGTTCTACTGGAAAGCAATACTTGAGTTTATGGGCGCTTGACAGGCTTCATATGGCATCTGTTGCGCTTGGCCACTTTAAGCTTTAGCGCGCTGTAAACAAACAGCCAGAAGTAGTGAATGCCACTGAACAGCTTCAAGAAAAGAATTCACTGCAATGAATACGGGCAAGCCATGCATCACAGCCGTATAAAAACCTTTTAATTTTTTTTACAGCTCGAGAATCCCCCACTTCACAATGCCTCCCTTCGAACTGGAACCTACTGAGAGGTCGGTTCCGACATGGCCGCGTTTGTACTCGCAGTGACTCCATTTTCAGAGAACTGGTGACTGGTGCCACGGAGATTACCTGCGGCGTCGGCGGCGTCGAGAACAACGATATTAATATGTTGGCCGCTCAGAGTCGGACCGTTGAAGCTACGGCAGAGACTCAGAAGGGATCAGCCTTTAATTTGATGGAAGGAGTGGAAAATATATTTCGCTGGTGAGTACATTTTCAGTAGAACGACCTCCTGGCCATAATGACGAACCCAGGATCCTGAAGCCTTTCTTATTTATTCGAAACCGCTGCTCTTCCGCTACTTTTATTAAATCCAACAAGGAGGAAGATGACGCGTGAGTATCAGTATCTCTATTGCTAAAATGCTACGTTGACGCTGGATGAAGGGACCAGAAACCTAGAGGACCCATCGAAGGACCTGTATCTGGCGGACCAGTCAGAGGCCCTAAACCTAAGCCTAAGCCGAAACCTAAACCTTATCCTTCGGTGTCCCGAGGATGAATATCATGTGCAAGGACACTCTATCTGCTGGACAGAAGATACTACAATTCTTTTTTGTACATTATTATTGAGAAATCACTAGGACTTTGGTTATACCCCGACAACTTTTTGTGGCTCTACGCGAGGAATAAGATTCATAGAAGGGCTAGGTGGTCACAGGTACTACATACATCTCTGAAAAATATCGCCATTGTCATTCTCCTAGACACGACTGACTATAAGCACGCCATTGCTTTGCTGGCTGTGCAAATTAAATGTGTCGCAATGTATACTGGGACCCGCCCCTCAAGAAGGCTGGATTTAACTCCCGGATCTACCAAAGTGCTCCTCTCATTCTCAGACGCCAACTTCAATTTTGTGATCTCCTCTAGAAGTCTCCAGCCGACATTCCTTCACAATTACATCCCCCACGACTTGAAGCATGAATCCTTCTCTCGATATCGTCCAAGGAAGTTCTACCTTGCACGTATCCTTCACTATTTCCTTCCACTTGTTCCTCGGCATATAATTGTAGCCTCCCTTCCGCGGCTCACGAAAATCAAAATCCTCCCGAATAGCTTTCCCTAGTCTGCCTAGCCGAGAAGACAGCGCGGAGACCGCCGCCGTTTCGAGTCTCGCGGGAGAGATTGACAGTTATGATCGTGGTCGACTTGGTATCCCAGGATAGTTTTGCTTAGGTCGCGAACCTTTCAGCCAGTGACGACGAATTCGGGCCGCTCCTCGTTGGCTTTCCTCTGCTCCTTTTCTTATGAATAAGTATCGATACAAGTCATCTCAAACTATTGCCTTCCAGGATTCGAGATCAACTGCGCGTTTTCTGATTTCGGCCAGATCCATCTTTCCCTGAACGTAGTAGGCTCCCACGAATTCTCAGATACAGTGTTCACCGAAAGGTGTTGGATCTCTCGAAACATTATTGTAGGTTGACTAACTGTTACTAGATTATTTCTCCAATGGCTTGCATTCAAGTAACTTGTCAAATGCTTTCCAGACTGGACTCTCTCGTAGCTATCCTAGGTGCGCGAGAATCATTTCTCGCTGTCAATTCTAGGTTTGTTGATGGATTCCATCACTATTTTGGAAGGGCGATGGCTTTCCATCCATAATCTACTACCCATATTCCTTTGAAAACGATACTTAATCCTGATTCCTGCTGAAAAGACCTGCGTTCGTTTCATTCTTGAAAGCATACTGACGCCTCCCAACCAACCTCCAGCGTGTTCCATCCGATTTCGTCCTTGAAGTTTTCATTTATTCTCCCCTGATGAATGTGAACATCCTCGATAGCAATAAAGAGCCTTGCCATTTGTATGTAGCACCTGGAGAACAGTCTCCACCACGTCTCTGATTCCATTGTTTACAATAAACTTCCACGGCAACTTTGTGGTCGACTTTTCCAATTCGTGTTCATTGCCGATCTCCGCTGTGCGTATGAATGGAATCAATATGAGAAGCACGCGTCTGTACGTTATCATTCTAATATCCGGTGCTGTCTAGCCCATATTGGCGTGTCTTGGATGTATACATTCGAATAATGTGTCAGAATTGAGAAGTCGTACTCAAACCAAGTAAGTAGCAAAAATGTGTCACGTCTGGGGTAAATGCGCCATGTGAGCTAACTAAGAAAAATACTAGCTTATATACTGCCAAACCCGTGCGGAAAGGAATGAACACGTAAGTAAATCCATTCGAGAACCCAACGGTGACTGACTGTTAATGCTATGGGAAGATCGAAACCTACCAAGCGCGACGCCATGAACCATCTAAAAAAGTGTCGAGATTTTAGCGATATTATTCATTTTGTTTCAAGACAGACGCAAGCTGAAATTTCGGTACTCATTCGAAATATCAAAACAAATAGGCTACTAAAACGCTTAAACGATAATTTGAAATTTTCGGCTAAAGCTTCCACCGGATAAATGTCAGCGTCACTACGTCTAGATAGAGGTACATGTGCAGAGCAACTGGGTCGTGGAGCTGTCAGTAGTCGTGCTGTTCCCTCCGTCAAAGCCGGTATCAGTGCCGTTCATCCCAGAGGAAGACGAAACTCCATTAACACCAATAGCAGTGGCGTTGGGGTTTACGACGCCTCCAGCTTCAGTAAGGTAACCGCCAGGAGAAGACTCGTAGCTGGCTGTAAGGTCTACACCGACTGTTCCCCAACTGAGCGACAAGCATCAGTATGAGGGAAAGGGAAGAAGACGATACACACGCACAAAAGGAGACCGTCCGAGAGGCCATCACCGAGATAGACGTACTCCAAGGTCGGGTCGACACCGGTTCCACTGTCAGGCTCGACACCCGCAGTGAACACGCGATCATATTCGTTTTCCGTGATGGCAATGGTGTTGGTAACATAAGGAGAGGTTGCCTCGACGGCGGTGATGAGGTCTTGGTCGAAGAACACTTGGCCTGTGGGTGGTATCAGCGACTGAACTACAGATGACGCGGCCTCATAAGGCTTACCGATGTGTTGTTGGCCGTCGGAAGAGAATGTGCCGTTATCGAAGATCGTTCCATTTTCATGGACGATCATGTGGAAATGAGTCGCACGGTTAGAGTAGTGCCCTTAAACAGCCGTCAGTCCGTGAAAAAATGTAGTATATAGAAAATAGAGATACCAGGGAAGATGGTCTCGAACTGAGCATATCCCTCATCATTTATCGGCTGGATCGCACGCAAGAATGTCGTGTTCTAACAAGTAACGATCAGAGGAGAGGAAAGGAGAAACCAGAGCGAAAATCCGACTGACCCAATTACTCTCATCTGTATCGTCGCCATTGCCCGAGGCGACGATTCCAGCGTAGACCCCAGTCGCATTACAATGCCAAACGTCAAGATAGACGCCGGGGATAGGCTCGCAAGTGGAGACATCGATCAACTCAATGTCCACATAGGCGGGCACTCCGGTCTGGCTTTCTCGCATGTCTGAACGGACGTATTCGCCCTGAATGTAGTACGGGCCTTGCTCGAGCTCGGGAGTGAGCACACAAGAGGCGTTAGAGGAGAAAGGGTCAGAGTCGGAGGTAAGGCCCGTTACGTTCGATAGGTGGCTCGTGTCCACTACTTCTTCGACGGTAAGAGCGCGTTTGTAAGGAGCGCCTGACGAGGAGAGTAAAATCATTAAATGTATAAGGTGAGGGAGAGAGGAGTATGCTAACGAGTGGCAATGCCACGTTTCTGTCTGAGCTCCTCAGCAAGTGCCGTACGACGAGCAGCTGACCTGTCCTTGTATCCACGTCGAGCAAAATGGCTCTGACAATCCGCAAGGGAACGGCCGGTTGCTGTCTCAAGCTGAGCGCGACGAGACAGCTGGACTGAAGTCGGAGGAGTCTCGCCGGGGTGCGCGACGACGCTGGTTGCAACCAGGAGAGCGAGGGAGACAAGAGACGTGAGACAGACCATGTTGGAGATGGATGGACTTTGACGAAGAGATATGCCTGGTTATATAGCCCCACCGGGCGCAGCTCCTAGCTATGGCGTTGGTCCAATTCGCGATATCCTATTGGCTGATCGTCTTCGACATCGGGTGGGTGCTCCAGCCATACGGGCGAACGTTGTGTATCGTCGCTGTTCGCTGTGCAAATCTGATGGAATGCGGTCCAAGAAAAAGCCAATGTTTATGCGCAGAAGCCAATGACGACGGTGTCATTAGAGTGTCACCGGGGTTATCTGGTCAAATGGCCATACCTAATTCCGATACCACCAGGTTAGTTACCGAGGGGGGAATACAGACGGAAAAACACTCACAGGACCGAAATACGAAGGCTGCCGGAAGCACTGTATCATCATTGTCAACGTAGGCCACTCCATATCAAGAAAACACTCTACCTGAGGGAGCTCAAAATTCATGACATCTTTGTAATTTCCTCATCTTCCCTTTTTACCGGAGTGTACGTAGTACGTGCACATAAGCGCAGTCGAACGATGATCTGCGAGGAAACATCGAAGAAGGTAAACACCGACCCTGTTGACAGCCTGCCAATCAGAATACAATGAAGCCACATTATATTCTGCATAAAAAATTAGAGCCAAGCGAACAAGTGACTGCGTAAAACGTACGAGGCTACGGGTAGTGATAGATTCTTGGTTTCAGGCTTGAGTCCCAGTCCCAGGTGGACAATGATATCCATTATCCCATCCATCATTCCCTCAGGAAAGCGAGGGAGAAACTCGACAGCCTATATGCTGTTTTCCGTGAGCACAAACAATTAAATTTTTCTGTTTTTTTTTTCTTTGTCTTTTGCTCGACATCATACATTGTGTCTGATCGGGTGGCGGCACCCCTCCCATAACGGATGTATCTTCGAGGCTCATACATCAATTCCCGCAGCAGCGTCCGCAGCCGCAACGCTTGTTCCATTATTTCGCCGATAGCGCCAAGCTTTTTATCGGCATTCACTTGGCCATGTGGCCTGAGATCACTCTGACTGGGAAACACGGCTTCTGTCTCCATGAGAAAAAGATTGCCCCCACCACGAGGGTACACACTGAATATTTTATTATCTCAGACAGGAAAGGAAATTCACAACCTATCATACCTGAAGTCAGGGACTGAGATCAATGTTGCAAAAAAAAAGTCATGACACACACCAATTGTATCTAGTTGGGGATGTTTTGATGTAGCCCCAGTCTAGTAGCTGTGCCAGAGTCCATGGAATTTCACATGCAAATTGTGGGCAACTGTATCAGCGATGACAGCTGATCTTTAGAGTAGTGCAGTCTCATTAGAAAAAACTTAGAAACATTGCTGAACCTATGAGAATGAACATGTGAGTGAAATAACTTGAAATACTCTGATGATGGCTTACTGAAGGGTTGATCAATAGTTCCTTCTATCTGATCTACCACCTGCAGAAACCTATTAGAAAGATACTAAATAATACTTGATACTGGATCCAGCTAAACTGAACTTGTCCAGAGAATGAACCAAAAGAATTCTGTATTGCATGTGTAGGCTCACTGTATCATCCAGGCATGTGGAAGGCCTATAAGAGGTTCTAGTCCACAAAGCACACCCTGAAGAGAACAAGAGCAGGTGTATAATATGGTCACAAACCTTTCACATGGTCAGCTACCATAGACATAAGGATCTGTCTCTAGCTGGTTGATAGAGATAATAGGTGCCAAGGGTCAAGCTGACACTATATGAAACCAGGGGCTAAAGGTGTTGATGAAGGTTTCATCATTGATCATCCTAAACATATCAATTCAGAATGATGAGAAAGTAAAGATAAATAGTTCACAAACTAGACCTTGTAAGCCTTCTGCCTAGGATGCCAAGAAAAGGAAAAGCCCAGGCAACTTATAAGGGCAGTATGCAAAGAATTGAATTGCCTGCTAACAGATCAAATGCTAATCAACAAGGCCTTTGAGAGAGCCAGCCTATGCTTCTAGCTGGTTAGTGGCTATGCATTTTGGAGACATGGTAGAATTCAAGCAACACTGTCAGCCTTGACAAAGAAAAATCAGGGATTGGACTTCATGAGTGATATCTTGAACATTATGAAGAACTGTAACTCTTTAACCTTTGAAACAGAAAAGATGGAAAGTAAGAGATATACCTTGACTTCAAGAGCATCTCATACTCTTAACTTGCACTGTAAAAATATTATTGTCTTGCTCACTATTTTCTGCCTGATAGAAAATTCCACTGGAGTGGGGTATGGCTGGTATTTTTTATAACTGTTCAAGGCTACATGCTACAAAGGAGTGAGACAGAGTAAATGAAAAGTTATCTGGGCCACCTTGGTCTAAAGTGCATGCCTGTATGCCCAGTGTCATTTCTCTATAGACCACTCTGGCTTATTAGCCTCATCTCTGTCTCATCTATCCTAGTGTTGCCTGTGCCATTGTCTGGGCACTTTATATTCTCATCACTACTGGAAAGGTCACCATTTACCTTGACAACATCCTTATTATGTCTCAAGATAAGGAAGAACACTGATGCCTACCTAGTCTGCTAAGTTCTGATAATTATAAGGAAGCACAAGCTATTCCTTAAGGCAGAGAAATGTGAGTTTGAGGTACTTGAAACAGAATACCTAGAGGTTATTATCAGTAAAGAAAGTATCCATATGGACCCAGTAAAAGTCTAAGGGGTGATGGAATGGCCAGAACTGACAAAGAAGAAGAAGCTCCAGTTGTTCCTCAGATTTACCAACTTCTACCATTGTTTTATCAAAGACTACAGCACAATTGTCTGCCTGATGACCCAGCTTACTGGCAATGCCCCATAGACCTGGAGTATCACCCAATCTAACACCTTCACCTGGTTAAAAAGGCAATTAGCAGAAGATGTCATTTTGGCAATCCCAACTGGAAATAGAAGATTTCAAGTGGAGACAGACTCTAGTAAAGGAGCCATCAGTGCTGTTCTATCACAGGAGAGAGATGGGAAGTGATGACCAGTTGCCTTTCTGCCTAAAGCCCTCACAGTGACAGAACAGAACTATGAGATTTATGACAAGGAACTACTTGCCATAATGCTCACCCTGGCCAAATGGTGGCATTATCTCATGGGTGCAATCCAGAAGTTCAAGATTTGAACAGACCATCAGAATCTCTAATATTTCCACCTTTTCCAAAAATTGAACTGATGCCAGACATAGTAAGTCACAGAACTAGCCAAGTATGACTTAACACTCTAGCATAAGGCTGGAACAGCAAATAAAATAGCCAACCTGCTGACTATGACTATGTTAGGCCCAAGTGACATGTGACTAATAACACATGATAGACAGATGCTGTATTGCATTCATACAATCACATCTGAATTCACTTGATGTCTTTAGTAGTGTTATATTTCAAGGTCATTACAAGTTGACTTGAGATAGAATGGTAAGATAAAGGATGGCTTGAGACTAGAGATATATGATATCATCTATGCTACTTATATACTATTGTCCTTGTAGATAAATATAGTCTTATTAATTGTATATACTCAAGCTATAGTGCTCATTATCCTGGAGTGTTGTAGTTACCTACAAAAGAGAGATTGTTCTGTTGTTGGAGCATTGCTATGTGTCTTGAGACAATGACTGATTATGCTGACTAAGACTGTCTCATGGTTCTAAGCACTCATCTAGATGCCCTGACTAAGTGTGAATAGGGGCTGAAAGAAGGTGAAAAATTATAACATTACCCCTCTCTTAAGACCATTGTTCTGATGGCTTAATTTAGAGATAGTTCATAATTACAGATGGTGTTGTCAAGATTCATATATTTCTCATTGATCCATTGGTTTGACTCTGATCCATATCCCTTCCAGCTGACAAAGTAGTCAGTTGTCATGGTCATGCCTTCTCTGCAGGCATGTATTTTTCATGTTCTATGATGTAAGACTTGATCAATTTCATAATGTTCTTCATCATTAATCAGGTCAGATGGTAAAGAAGATGATCATTCTTGATTTGAAAAGGCAGAGGCAATATACAGAGTGAGAAGAGATTCATTAAAGATGTCATAAATTTGCCAGGATGTTGGGAGATGCAGTTTATAAGCAGATATGCTGATCTTTGCCAGTATAGAGAACAGTCCTGTTTGTTTGTTGGAAAGCTTGCATTTGGATTGTGGAAGGTGAAGATTAGTGGTGTCTAACCACACCTTATCATTAGGGTGATAAATATTAGAGGCTCAGTGACGTTTATTGTACTGCTGTTTCATAGTGATGGCAGCCTTCTTGAGAGCTGTCTGGGTTTCAATGTGGATTTTTGCCATTTCTGTGGTGAAGTCAGTGGAAGCAGGGGTAGTTGTGTGATGGCATGAAGTTTGAGTGATGTCAGGATGTTAACCATGGTTGATGAAGAAAGAGGTTTTACCTATTACAGAATGAATCCTATTATTATGCTAAAAAGCTGCTAGGGCCAATCATTCTGTCCAGTCATCCTGCTGATAGTTAATGAATATTCACAAGTACTTTTTGATTTCTTGGTTGATGCACTCTGTCTGCCCATCACTTTGTGGATAGTAGGCAATCAATGCATTGCTTTAAATGCTAAGAAGCCAATATAAGTCATTAAAGAACTTGGAGACAAATTGGGGCCCTCAGTCAGAGATGATGACCTGTGGCATACCATATTTGGAATATATTTTGTCCCATAAAATCTTTGCCCATTCCTCAGAGAATAGTTCAGTTGAGCAGGTGATCAGAATGATCATCTTTGAGAACTGGTCAACAATAATGATGATTGCATCATAGCTATTGCAGTCTGAGAGTCTGATAATCATGTCAACCAAGATATAGATCCAGAGTCTGCTGGAGACCTCATTTGAATGCAGGCATGTCAGACATGCATGTGTAAATATTTTAGTTTGCTGGCATGTTTTGCATCCTTTCACATACTTCTCCACATCTATTTTCATCTTTGGCTACCAATACTCCTGCAATACCAACTCCTTCATTTTGGAAATTTCTGAGTGTCCTGCTGTTGCATGATCATGGCTCATAGCAATGATTTCCCCATGCAGTGAGGCAATTTGAGGGATATAGATGTGTCTATCATAGTAGAGGAGATTGTTGCTCCTGGTTATATCTCATTCATGATTTAATGAGATGACAATTCCTTGGTTCCAGAGATTTGGCTGTCTGGTGCTGCTTCTGATTTTGTCATGGACTTCTTTCTCCATTAGTATGATTATCACTCTGAAGTGTTTTGATTTCAACAGCACTATGCTATTATTGTCCTCCTTCTCTTGATTGTGGTCAGCTTATTGACTCAGCAGGTCAGCCTTCTTGTTAGCTGCCCCTGCTTTGTGATGAAGAGTATATTGATATTCAGACAGTTTGGTCACCCATTGTGCCTGTCATCAATTTAGCTTTTGGGGAAGTCAGAAGTAATGCAAGTTCTGATAATCTATCCACACTTTGAACACCTCTGTTGCTCTGATCAAGTAGTGCCACTATTCAGCCAACATGCATAATAGCCAACAACTCCTTGTTGTATATCTCATAGTTTTGCTCTATGACCATTAGAGCCTTAGAGAGAAATGCCACTGGTCACCATCATCTCATCTGCTTCTGAGAGAGAACCACCTCTATGGCCCCTTCACTGAAATTGGCTTTGATTCAGAACTTACCATCCTGGGCCAGTGAAGAGGATCTGAGTGTGTGTAAGGTGAAAATGGATACAGCAGAGTGCTATCCACTGACCACACTCACACCAACACACACACAAAACTCTTAGTTCATAGGGGGATTATAATGCAATAAAAGTAGTAATTAACAAATATAATTGTCTTCTTCAATAAATCCACAGTGCATAAACAGCAATAGCATGTGTACGACAGTCCTAGATCTCTTTAAGTCTCAAAGCTTTTTATTTTATCAAAATAAGAGGTGACAACAGATGTTGTCAGGCCTCAAGACAAAGAGACTGCAGCTCAATACAATACATTGAAACACTCCCACAAAACTCTCAAGAGGTCTTAAGCACAGCTCAGATCAACTCAAAATCTCTAACACACTCAATATATGACTCAAAGCTTTATGCTCTAAGTAAAAACCAATCACAAATATGTCTACTAATGCTAAAGAGCACAGATCTCTGTTCACAAGTTTTCAAACTGATTATAGATCCACAGGATTCAAACCTATGTGATCCAGAGACACAAAACATAAGAAAACACCATTTGACAGACCAAAGAGTTTGAACCTCTGCCACTTGTAGCATCATGTATCACAAATACCTCAAAACTCAAGATGATGCCCTTCAGACACTGCTCTCTTATTCTCAGGTTAGAGCACAATTCAAAACCTCTTATCAAACCAGGCTCAAGTCCTTTACAAGCTTCAATATCTTACTCAGTTATCAAAGCTCTCTCAATGATATTTAATAATGAGTTTATTCTCTCATCTAAAGTTACAAACACAAACTCAGAGCTAGAGTGCAAGGCTTTCTGTGCCCAATACACTGCAACTGTGAGAGTCAGAAACTTTTTCCTACTCATACAATACTATATTTAAATACTCTACTGTGGTACTTACTAATACAATCCTACTATGGTATCTTCAAAGCATGGGACTTTATGCCAGATCCCATGGGTATTATTTGCACATGTATTATAGCTGCCACACTTATTCTCTTCT